GAGAACACAACTTTATTGTCGTCAGACTTAAGGAGGTAGGTGACCCGCCAGGCTGAACCTGATGGCCACCTCCTCTGCCCTTTGTACGGCCTGGAGCTGAACGGCCAGGCTGGTGGAGGTCAGAACTGCCTCCCACCCCTCTGGCGAGGGAGCGGCTAGCGTGCACGTTAAAGAACCCCAGGTGGTCGAAATTTCCCGAGCTCTCTACTGCAGCGGTTCTCATAATCACACGGTGGTTTTGGGACGTTTCACCCCCATACCAATCAAACCTACCGTTTACTGTATTTACTTTTACTTACTCTCTTCAGAAGCATACCCAGAGGGAGAGGGGGAAGTCTCAGAACTTTTGAACTACCTCTCATAGTCACGTCACAAAAAAAGCTTATGCCTCTCTCCCCCCTCCCTTCTATTTGGTCAGTAACCCCCCCCCCCCCCCCAAAAAAAAAATTTTCTGGCTACGCCCCTGACGTAATGCTTCCACGCTCGTCAAAGTGTCTTGAGCAACTTTTCTGCACGCTCATGATACCCCACACGCAGTTTTCAGGTCGCTAAGATTTTGGAAACGCCCGTTTTTTTTTTTTTTTTCTACCTGCACTTAGTCTCGGAAACGACTGCTACTGCGCATGGACTCGCATGTGCACAGCGACATTTTCGGTAACTTGGCTTGTGTCGCGCGTCGAGAGAGTATAGTGGCTCAAAAGGACGACGACAGGACACCCCATCCACGACACAAGCGCATCAGACTTGGGCGCCGGCAACGCAGTACAAATACAAAAAAGTTGTATAAAGCCACATCGTCCCACTGTAACGGCTTATTTAAAAAAAAAAAATAGTTGCACAGCTCAGAAAATATGAAGTCAAGCATAGTTACAGGAACTCCTGCGCAAGCAGAACGACAGTATGCACAAGTCGCTAAAAGGGCTACCAGCATTGCTATCGATTCAGAGCGTTACTCGACAAAGAGGGACATCCGTGTTCGGAGCCTTTCAGATAGAAAATACTGCATATAAAATAACTACATGCTTTTGGGATTAACTATTGCAGCTACGAACACTACTAAGGGTAAGCTTTTGCCGCGCCGAAAAAACTGGGTTTAAAAATTGGCCCCGTATCTGCATGTTACACTGCAAATGTCGTCGAAAGATGATAGTCTTGCATCTGGAGAGAGTGAACAAAACATTTATTTGATGTTCTGCGCAAGAAAATCGGTGAATGGTATTCTGGAGGCGCTGCGTTAAGAGTGCCTCGAGCGTGCAGCGGAGACGAACGAGCGCATCAAGTCACGTCACACGTGAGACATGAGCTCTATCTGGCAGTTATGTTAGAAAACGAAGCCCGCGTGCCCTGTGCGCCAGTCTCGGAGATCATAAGGTACAGAACGCAAGGCAATAGGTAGGTGCCACTACAGTGTCTTATTCGTAAAGTGTTGAAAACACTTGCCTTTTCAAGCAAGCTTTGCCTGGTCAGCGCAACGTGATTAACACTACAGTCCTTATAATTACTTGTGTATGCCTTTTCTAGCAAAAGACACAGAATATTGACGTGTTATGGTGCCTCAGATATGTGCAATAATCGGTTTTTAATTGACAATTGCACAAGTATGACTGCTGAATCTTGAGCATATTGGTGGGTGCTGCGGATGATGTCCACCGTTTGGAGTATCGTTTGGCCACTTAGGTGCTGTTTAGAGTACCGTTAAGGGCGGACAAACAGACGAATGCACAGACAGACAGATAAGACTAAAGTTTTTGTGTTGAAGTTCCTAAAGAAAGACTACAGCCTTTAAAAAGTCAGTTATCGCAGTGATGTTCCGTGCACGGAATTTTTGCCTGTTATTTTGAGCCAAAGGGAATCTTCGCGATATTGCAAGGAATTTCAGAAATGGTTATTAAATTCTCCTATGACGACCGATATTTAGCGGTCACAGTGCCTTCACCTGCTGTAATCTGTTCTGGCTCATGCACCACACTAGCATAACACTTAAGCCTTCTTTGTGATACTTAAGTGGAACAATTTGTAGTTCACTACTGGTGTTAGACTTAAAGCCCACAATGTGCAGTGTACTGGCAGTATAAATAGTCATGCTTTTTGATGTGTGGCAGTGGAGGGGCTAGTCACAATTTCAAGTCACCAGTAGGCGGGACACGTGTAAATATAGTGCGTGGATGGGGGCGGAAACGAGTACTGTTGTGTAGAAAAATTTGCTGGGAATTTCGTCAACATTTGCAGGAAAAAATCCCCGAAATAGGTAATTTTGATGTCTCTGAATGGGAATTCTTAGGCGTAGTACGGAACATCACAGAGTTATGGGTCCCTTTGAACGAGTGGCCGTTTAGTTCCGTGGGCCTTTTACGCACTCAGCTGTTTCAACAAATTTACTGAGGCAAAGTGTGGGCACAAGCTAGTTGGTTTAAACTTGACAGACAGCTGGGGATGTGGAATATGTAACGCAAATATCGTACTTACTCGCATAATCAGCACACCTCTAGTTTGGTCACGGAAAATCCAATTTTTCTTTATTCCGCGCATAACAGGCGCACCCCGAACTTGGCCATGATCAGGAACGATACCTGGTCCCCATATCCTCAAGAAAAAAAGAAGGCAAATAGACGAGCAAAAAAAAAAAAAAATCGATCTGCAACAAAATAACACTTGAAAAAAAAAAAAGTCCATAAGCGAAAAAAAAAAAAAAAGGCTGTTCCATCAATTACTGATACCCTCCAAATCGCTGTGCTCCTTGGAGGTCACGTGTACAATGCCGGGGGCTCGATCGCCATCACCATCATCAGAGAAAAAGAAACGCCATTTAGCAAGCAGTGTGCGTATGTTGTGGTCGTGTATTCAACTTTGGTTCCACCATGGGGAAGTACAGAAGCTACACGGCTGGATTATATATACTGAAGGCAGTGCAGTATGCGCTGGAGCACAGCAACCAGGCATTTCGGCATTGGAGAAACGAGTATTCGGTACTCGAGGGATCAAGAAGAAAAACTAAAGGCAACGAAGGAGACACGGCGGGCTTTCCGCGGTGCCAAGACCGGCAGGTACCCAAACGTCGAAGAGCAACTGGTCCGGCATATACGGGAGCTACAAAAAGCCGGCTGTACAGTGTCATTGGATATTGTGCATATCGAGGCGCGCAGAATAGCCCGAGCGCAGCGCATCGAAGCAAAAGAATTCAAAGCCAGCTCCAGATGGACAGCTCGTTTCATGCGGCGCCATAGCCTCGCACTGCAAAGGCAGACCACCTTGTGCCAGAGCTTGCCCGCAGCATATGAGGACAAAGTGGTGGACTTCCACCGTTTCGTTATAAAGCTTCGACAGCAGAAAGACTTCATTTTGTCTCAGATGGACAACGCAGATCAGACCCTCCTTTGCTTTGATATGCCGCAGAACACGGCTGTCGCGGAGAAAGGTGCACGGAGCGTCGTCAGAACGCCTGGCGCTGATACACGATGCACCGTAATGCTTGCGGCGACAGCGGATGGGCACAAGCTACCGCCTTACGTATTGAAACTTAAGACGCTCCCAAAGGCAAATTTCCCTCAAGGCATCTACGTCACAGTCCAGCAAAAAGACTGGATCAGCATGGAACTCGTGGTGAATTGGGTCAAAACAGTCTGGGGTCAGAAGCCGGGTGGTCTATTGTTTCCGTCCATGCTTGTCCTGGACAGTTTTCGTGGGAATCTAGTAGACCGTGTAGGAAATGAGCTAAAGGAGCTGTGCACAGATTTGGCAGTGATTCCGGGTGACCTCACATCGATACTGCAGCCTTTGGATGTGTCCTTGAATAAGCCTTTCAAGGAGGACAATGTTTGAAGGCTGTACACCATCTGGATGGCTGGTGGACAACATCAGCTGACTCCAAGCGGTATGATTAAGAGGCCGCCTGTGGAAATGCTGTGCGCGTGGATCGTGGAAGCGTAGCAGGTGATCTCCGATGAAGTGGTGAGGAAAAGATTCAAGAAGACGGGCATCTTGAATGTACTGGATGCGAGTGAGGATGACATGTTGTGGGGTGCAGATGATTCGGACACCGAAAACAAATCCCCGCTGGGCGAGGATGAATGTGTGCTCTCCAACTCTGAATGGGGAAAAGGAGGAACACCTACATCTTTTGTGTAAATAAATATTACGTGTGTGTGTGTAGTTGACCACACTCACTTGTTCATTAAAAAGTGCGTAGGTAGTTTTTTTTTATGCTGAAATATTACTTCGAGCCGGATTTTGTGAAAAAAAGTGCGCCTATTATGCGAGTAAATATGGTATACTATATCAGCGTACTTGATGGGGCAGAGTACACATACTTATGCAGACATCTGGCATGATGTGCTCAAATGTGCGAGAAATTTTGCAGTGGTCTTCGTTAGTGCTCTAAAATACCAAATTAAAGAGATTCTTCAAAAGATTACTGTGCGTTTCAAAGCGAAAACAAATGCTGCACTCGAAACGCACCTCTCACCGTTACTGTTGTTTGTTTTTATGTAATTCTCGCATTGTTCTCTGAAATGCGCGACGTAGCCTCTATCCACTTGCTAAAGGAATGGAAGAACACAATTACTGAACAATCTGCAACAATTACATCGCAGAATTGCACGTTTCTTCCCCGATTACACTGTGCAGTAGGCACCTCGAAGCAGTGAAGGTATAGGCCTGGAAGCAGAAGTAACATAACAGACGACGCGTAATTTTCCTATCTACCAATTTGAAGAAAACCCTGTTATCATCTCGTTTGAATTTTGAGAGCATACTGCAACTCTCGCAGAAGGTGCATCAGGTGCACACACACAGCAGGTCACAACATCGTCCGGAAATTTCTGCTCGCAAGGGCATGGCATCAGCCTTGAAGGGACACCAAGGATAAACACGACTTGAAATGCCAAGGGTGAAACTTGTACCAAGAATATGGCTAGTTTCACAGCCATCGTCGAGGTCACAGTTTGCCCAAAAGTATCAGCATGAGATCGCTAAACAATGATAATAAAGAAGAAGAGACAGAGTCGTTTATACAAATCTAGCTTTTTGCCAGCCTATTTATTCCTGCTGCAGCAAACGCAGGCCATGCTCTCATTCCCAACAGGCGCACATACAGCGTGCACAGGGGCCTGACGGCGGCAGCACCAAGAGGCGTCAATAGCGACTATGTACATCCGTCAAGGTTGGTGCCTCTTAAAAACATGACGCTTTCACAGTACCCCGCCCACACCACAGCCGTCCTTCACAGAGGGTAGTACATTTGAGCACGAGCAGGACGGCTACATAATTAAAAGGGAGCCTCCCATCCACACACATATGCCTTGCAGCGATTTAAACTTAAACAACAAAAGCAGCAGCGTGCGTGACGCTGCTCTATAATTTAAAAAAAGTCTAATCCATTCTACGCTGCTAAAGGAAACTGCAAAGGGATTGGCAGCAGGTTTTGATACCCCCCCCTTTACCATATAGTGTGTGTGTGTGTAGTTTCCCTCGCCCTGCTGACTGACCACATAGTTCCATGACGAAAAACAAACAAAAATGGAACTGGCCACAGCCAGGGAGCAGAGGAGAAAAAAAATTGAACGGGAAGAGCCATGTGTGTGGTCTTCTTTTCGTGGGGCGGGGATGCGAGTGGTAGCTCCCTTTACTGGGCCTGGTACTGTTGCATAGGGTATGCGCCGATCATTCCTGGCTGCTGCAAGCCTTGCGCCATCGGTGTCTGCGCGGCTGCCACTTGTGGTTGGCCGGGCAGACCCTGCCACGCCATCTGCATGCCGACGCTCCTGCAACAAAAGAATGCAACACATGATTTTTAAAGTCAGCAGATTCATTAAATATCAATTTCAATACACAAATTTAATTGCTATGCTGATAGTTGAAATCAACGGTAAATGAGGCTAATTAAGATATATATTGAACATTCCTTATATGTTTTAGCTGCAGTACAGGAAGTATAGAAGGCATATGATTGCCCCGCAATTGATAGAGCACCAGGCGCGTAAATGAAAGATGGTAGGTTCCGTCCCCACCTGCGGCCAGTTGATTTCTTATGGAATTTAATTCGTTTCAATCGATGTCATAATTACTATGCAACAGCTGAAGGCTACGATATCTCCTATACCTTTTTAGCTTCATTTTTATTGGGCTGGAACACCCTACAGGGAAATTATGCTGCATAACAAAAAGGACCTTACACTGCACGTGGACTGGAAGGACCTCCATTCTCCACGAGTTATCGTATGGTTAAGCTGCCAGCCTGCCTAGTAGTAGTTACTGCAACTCGTTTGGTGCTTCTCAGGCAATGCTTATCGAGAGGAGTGTCCTTTTATTTGTTCGCGTACTTGTTTGGCCAGCGAATCAATGAGCTTTTTTGGCAGCACAAACTTTCGTGAATTTCATGCCCTTTCATGAGCCAGTCAGCTCCCCCGAAGGCCAACCCTGGCCGGTAGTGAAAGCCGTCAACGCGACAAAAGCTATGGTTTTCTAGAAGACGGAGCCTACTCCGAAGACGATACCTAAAAAGCACCGAATGAAGACATATGTTTCTTTTGGCTTGCTAAACGACAAGCCTGTCAACGTTTCGCGGTCATTCCGGTGTTCAGAAAATAGTTTCCAGAAACAATGAAAACTCATTCGTTGTACCATATTTTCTTATATATAACCCGCACCCCTATTTGAACTCTGCGAAAAAAAAAAAAATATATATATATATATATATCCTCGCGCATAACCTGCATGTTTAGCTAAAAAGAAAACTGTTTTTGAGAAGTCACAACTGCACAGCACATCATAATCTCGTTTACAAAACAACTTTATTTCGAAGCAATCGCTGTAACATTGATGGCGCCGAATCCCGTTCGTTCAAGCATCGCCCAACTCCCCGCTGTTGCTGCTGCCATCCAAGGCTTCGTCGCCGCTCTCGAAGACGCAATAATCTTCGGTGCCATCCAAGCAATTGCTGACGGCGCACTTTGTGAAGCTCTAGCGCACCATGTCAGCCGGAATGCCATGTTGGTCCCACAAAATTCGCGTGAGATGTTTATCTCGCGGGCCAACCTCAGCGCTTCCATTTGCGTCATCTCCTTTGACATAGCGTGGCCGTGACTTCTCCACTACTCAATAAATTTGACAAGCTGCGTTTCAAAAAGAGGGTTCGCACCAATCTTAGGGGCCTCGAAATGCTCGCTTTTCCTTGCGTGCATTTTCAAAAAAGCCCCCCCCCCCCCCCCCCCCCCCCCGCAAGTCGCGAATGCAAGACTCGTCGACATTTTGCCTCCTCGCAGCAGCTATAATCTTGAGTTTCTCTTTCGCGGTGAAAGATTGCCACCGAGACCCACTCATGGTGCCTCACCAGACAAGGCTGACCAATGGTGTAAACTAGCCACACCTGATTTCGAGAAAGACGTCAAATCGCTATTGTGACACTGTTGACCAAATCAAAGCACGCAAAAAGTGAATTAACACGCTACGGAGGAGATCTATCTATGGCCTGTGTTGGCTTTGATTGGCTTGCACATGACGATGCTGATGGAGATGCAGACTGCATGGTAGGCCATGCACTGCCGTGAAGCAGACCTCTGCTTCCGGATTATTCGTAGATAACCCACACCACCACTTTACAGGCGATTTTTTTTCTCAATTTTTGGTGCGGGTTATATGCGAAAAAATACGGTATAATTGGACACCATTCTTTGAGCTGGCTGGGTACCTGCAAAACCATAGATCGACATGCCAGAAAAATTTTTCTTGAGACTCCTCCAGGACCTGTTCTAGAGGCCATCATGCCAGAAGTGTAGCTGATCGCACCCCAGACTCTCACGACACCCAAATTTTGGTTAAACATGGGGCACGGATCCCAGATGGGAGATAGCTAGAGTGGGGGTTGAGACAAAAGACATGAAAAGACGCCGTTTCTGCAGCCTTCATTGGGAGCACATGCAAGGGAGACATACAGCTGCATTCACATCTTGTGTGCTCAAGTGTGTGACTAATGTACAGTGTATGAAAGGGAACGGGCAAGCGTGTGGTCTGCGCTCTTGCGACTTCCTACAGAACTATCAGCCGACAAATGAAGTGCATCTGCTGTTCGCGTCACCTTTTAGCAAACAAAACAACAAGTCATGACCGTTGGACGAGCACTGCTGAATTGTGCTCCCGCTCTGATCTCGCGACGAGTGATGCTGCCCAAAGCGGACGCAGTTTCTTTATCTGTCGGCTGATGGTGCTGTAGCCAGTCGCAGTAGAGCGCAGGACACGCGCTCGCGCGTTTCCTTTCATAAAAATTGATACTGTTCTTTTGTGTCTGTCGATCTTCTAGGTAGGAAAGAACATTTTGGCAGACGCCGACTGCCCTTGAGGGGAGGCACGAAGAGGATAAAGAAATCGAGGAACTTCATAAAAATAAGCAGAATTCTCACTTTATCCGGGAATCAGTAGAGTGACAAGGAAATAACACAATGTACAGAAAAATCTGTAGATCTGGCACCACTGGCTGGTAGCCAAGGAGGCAAACACCTTGAACTATCTCATTACAGAGTTGCAGTGCTGAAGAACACACACCCAATCGGTTCTGTCTCAGCGCTCTTTGAAGTTTTCCCTGCTTTTTGTTTCTTTTTTTATTTGTGAGCCACAAATAATACAAATACAAATAAACACAAAAGTTTGTTAGTGGCACAGTGCAAGAAATACTGAATGTATTTCTTGCACTGTGGTTTGGGGGCACCGGCATTACTCTGGTGGGGAGTCGTCACCACTTCTTGGTGAGCGTGTTTGATCAGAAGTTCAGGCAGCGTCTCAACCAACTGGTACCCCAAGATTTTGGCCCCACTGATGTCAATGCAAGTGAAGTATTGACAAGGCGATTACCGTGGTTAAACATACCCTCATCTCACAGAAGGTTGATTGATTGATTGATATGTGGGCTTTAATGTCTCAAAACTACCGTATGGTTATAAGAGACACCGCAGTGGAGGGCTCTGAAAATTTCGACCACCTGAGGTTCGTTAACATGTACCCAAACGTGAGCACACAGGCCTACAGCATTTTCGCCTCCATCGAAAATGTAGCCGCCGCAGCCGGGATTCGATCCCGCGACCTTCACATATTGTTACAAATCATTTTAAATAGACTGACAAATAATAGACTAACAATAACGGCCGGTTTTGGGTGCGAACTGGCAACCAGCCCGTTGTCGAAAAAACAGCCCGGCCATTCCTAAATCGGGCAGGTGGCAGCCCTACATGATTTACTGCCACAACGTTTCTCTTTGAATTAAGTCACTGATGACAAGCCACAATCATGAAGTGCGCTCACGCTCCCATTTTCAACGGTGGCACTATTCACTATACTCTGTTTCACAAGCTCCCGCAGCATAGCCAAGGCCACACAATCTTCAAGAACAGATTCTTGTGGAGCGAGATGTAGCGTTCAGAACCCATTGCATGTCCTCATGACCTTTACAGCTTTACAAGTGGCATTGCAAAATTTTTACTAGGCTTCTTTGCATTTTCTAAATCTGATCTGCCCAGCAATGTTGCCCAGTTTTCAACATAAAACAATTTTTGTGGCTCTATGAAACTGAAAAAAAAAAAAGTTCTCCCTTTATAACATGCAAATAGTGGAAGAAATAACAGAACTGTGCCTTGTATTAGGTTTTCATCGCCAAAGTGCAAGCTATTGTTATGACACTACATAAAATTTTATTTGTACAGCTGAGTCCCTATAATTCGAAGTCGCTTACTTGAAATTTTGGGTTAATTAGAAGTCAAGTGGTTCCATCAATTTTGTATGCACGCCTATACGAAAAAATGATCCATATTTCGAAGTTAAATACTGGTAATGTTGGTCGATTAGAAGATTTTTAGTCGAGATCCTCGAGGCAACCATAAATTTTTCAATATCGGGAATTTTTCATGTGTCAAGACGGCCGAGACAGTTGTCGGACTGTGCTCTTGTCGCCATCACTACTGCCCGCAACGCTATGGTTTATAAAGTGGCTATCTTATTTAGTCAATGCCGGGGCATCGCATTGATCGCGTCGACTCACTAGGTTTTTCATTATGATGTGCTGAGCGCTTCAGCCGCGTGCTGGGTTGAAGAAGTTGGAACAGCGCGACTGGACGCTGGCGGAATAAAACACTCAAACACGGACAAAGAACACTAGATATAGACGGAGCGAAACATGCAAACACACACAGCAGCAATGTGCATGTGTCCGTGTGCGCTCAAACCGTATCCAGTTGCACTGTTCAAACGTAGCATGATAAAATAACTAGCCTGCCAACGCAGTGTGGGTTGATTCTGCAGGTGTTCCCACAGCTGATTGCGAGCGTGGTGATGGCGACGTTTGATAGTGGCAGCTCGTGGCCCCTATCGAAGGCTTGGGCTGGCGACTAGAGTCGAATTAGGTCGGGCAGTGAGGCACCGCGAAGCAAGACATGACACGAAAGCACGGCGTTAAGGCAAATCACTGTCTAATTTCATTAAGTGCAAACAAGCAAACTCGACGACGGTAGTTTTGGGGCCCTTTTCAGCGACGCCCGTTTTGAAAAATCAGTTGCCAGGGAGAGCAACGTCGATACATGTGGTCTACTAATGAACGGAAAAATTGTGCAGATGGTTCGGTTAGTGGACGAACCGCCATCGACGACTACCGATGTTGCTGCAGGTCTTGCTCTTGTACTGCGCTTTATGTTTTCTTGAAGAAGACAATGCTGAAGAAGCCCTTAGACACGTGTAGTGCTTGGGAAACTTGCTAGCCACAGCCAGGTTCAACAAGAGAAGA